GTCAGATTTGGGTAATTTGACCTATCGCTGTTTGTAATCGCCACCGAACTGTGACGACAGGTGGCGTATTATTTTTGTCGACCCTTTGCGCTGGGTCTAACCACAGGGGAAAGACGATACCTTCACAAGCACGTGGTAGACTCTATCTTCCTGTTCATGACAGTTTTTTTGAAGTAAAAATTTCTTTAGCGGCGTTGTACACTTTTTTGTATGGGTAAAAAGTGTTAAACTCGCGTCAGGTTAAACACGTGGGCTGATCGCATGATGACACACAATAAAATTGGAAAGATTGTTGACTTTCAATATATTGGACGAAACATAGTAATATTTAATTTTACCGTATTATAATAATAATCATAATCTCTATCTAGGACGTCCACGTGGCATCTTTATTGCGAAGAAAATGCATTTTTTTTACAATAGATGTCGCTAGGTGCGCTTAAATGTGATTCATGAAAGTTGATTTTTCTGAGAGATAAACTTTTTTAATGTAGGTAATATAAATTTTCATGTTTGTGTACGATAGCGCTATAAATAAATATTGTATTCTACCACATATATGATAGTACTTTTATACTGATAATTAAAGCAATTCGTGCAAAATTATTCCCTGACCATTCCAAAATATCAAAAATGCACAACGTTAATATTCAAGTTTTCACTTCTGCCGGCACTGCCGGAGTGCAACACGTCGGTTTTTTAAAATACTAGCGGACCTGAAATACGTTGATCTGCCCGATAAATATATTAAAAAAAACGACAACAGCGCTCCAGCGTGCAGTGTTAGAAATTTAAGATAAGTTTTCTTAAATTTTCAGAGCAACTTGTTATCTTTTCCGTAAGAACCTTTTATAAAGGATCTATTATGGTGGCCACTTAACTTAATGGCGCTTAATTAAATGGCATAATCAAATTGATCAATAACGATATTAAAATATCGATGTTGATCAAGACAAAATCCTTCCCTCAAGTGGCGTGTCCTTCCAAAGTGTCTCCCCACACTCGATCGGTTTGGCTTTGGCCACCATTAGAAAACTAAATAAAAGGTGGATAAAATTGGTAACGTCACAAGGAATCGCGTGCCCGCGAGTTAATCCATGCAGACTATGGAGAAAAACAGCTTTTCCAATGAAATCAGAAATCAATATATGTTTATTCAAACTGGATGTATAGTACAACTCTTTTGAATCGTCCAATTTTTTATTTCCCTACCAGTCGTTATTGGACATATGTTTTAGCTGCGGAGAAAAACGCGCGAAAAAACTCCACAACATTAAAAGTATAATGTAACAACATTTACAAATCAGATCAAATCAGACACTTTGTAATAAGCTTTTTTAGTAAGTGCTTTTTTACACTATCTTTGAATTTATTTAGGGTTAACTCTTGGATATTGCTTGGGACTTAATTGTGTTTATTTGCGAACGATTAAACTCTTTCTACTTATTCGTAACAAAAATAGCCTACATCCTCCAAGATACCTTAAGCTTTATCACTGTACAAAGAATCATCGGAATCTGCTTATCGGATCAAGTATGGATTCACTTTTCTGGTCTGTGGAAAGAAAGACAGTTTACTAACACATTTATAAATTCGGTAAGTATTGATTTTTGGAGATTTTTGGTTCTAATTCTTCTAGTCTTCGATATGATTCTAGCTCAATAAAATCTATTGAAAAATATCATTCTATTATCACGAGACAAATTGTTAAAATCTTTGTAAAATTTGTTACCTTTTCATTTAAGTAAGTTCTAAGTTCTACTCGATTTTCCTTACTGAATCTTATAGTCATATTTTACATAGAGAAATGAAATTTTATTAATATTGGTTTCATTTTGATTTATTGTTTGAATTTATACTATGTGTGTCAAAAGCTAAAGGTAACTTATATCGCGCGGTAGACAGTGGTTACTCATATTTCAAAGAAAGACCTCGAAAAATCATTAGAAAGGCTTAAATGGAACACAATGACAATGTGTAGGTTAGACACCATCTAACTATAAACGGAACGAAATCTAAAAATAACTTTTCCAATACAGTAATATAGTAATAACCTAGGTACAAGGGATTTTTAGAATCGGTTTATACGAGTACAATATTAAGTTTATTTTTTCGAATAAGGGGAGATCCCGGTTTTAGGTCTAATCGTGGACCGTCATTTAACAAATTTTACATGATTTGATCATTCTTCAATCTAATGTATAAGATCCTTCTATCACAGTGGTAACAAAAACCGGCCAAATAAGTGTAGGTTTCCCTAATTGCCTGTAGTTATCACAATATAATTTGAGCAGGAGTCTTTATTTTCTATATCATCCATAGGTTGAATATTTTTCAGAATGTTATTCTACCATTTTGTCGGTGTAATTGATATACATATATCCACCGGAATACCCGGGATGAACAGACGAACATGAAGAAACTATAAGGGTTCCTTGTCAGGATTACGGAACTCTAAAAAGGGTAGCAAACTCCTCCGCAACTGCTTTGGGCTTGACAGATTCTTAAGAAATTTTGGGTGTATATTCAGTAGGACTGAGAATACAATACTAGGATGTAAACAATTGTTCATATCCCTAAATGAACAGGGTGGTAAATGAACCATAACAAAAAAAAAATATTATTGGATTTTTTTTTTAAGATTGTTCTTTAAATTATAAATAACCCTAAATTTTTAGCCTTCTATCAACAATTCCTATTTTCATGGTAGTAAGAAGTTCACCGGGTTATCTAGTTAATTACATTAATAATTATTTTTAAACCTTGGTTGTACTTGATAATTACATGTGATTGTGCATTATTACATGCATGGCCACATGCAATTTCATAATCAGAGGGACTCGCCTAAACCACCTTTATCCTTTCAAAGAAATCTTTAAAATAAGTATTTTTGTCTACATATACTTTAATGTTACTAACATTGCAAATGCATAAAAAACGTCTAAATCGCTTAACCATTTAGATGAACTTCGACTCCAAATTAATATTAAATTAGGTACTTCGACAAAAATACAAACTTTTATCGCTTCTATATATAAAAAACTTGAAAGAGTACTATTTCATCAATGTTTTTTTCTTTCTTTTTATGTTTTCTTTTTGGTAACTAAGGTTTACTTCTGTTATCCAGCTGTGTACATTTTTGCTGGCCTTTGGCTGTTTAAAGTACCTTTACAAAAAAAAAAGAGTATGTCCATTTCGTATGTATGTGAAACTAGTTCTTCTTACTGAAGTAAAATAAAATGTAGGCATATAGATACTTACATTATTTAAGATAAGCAGTATACTGCTGCCAAAACTGTATTTAATATAGATATTTAATAATGGATGCAGACCCGTCTTTCCCAATGGGCACTTTGGGCAAGTGCCCAGAGCCCCGCGATCAATAGGGGGCCCCCTCAGATCAAATATAAAGTCCCTAGTTCCTGTTAAATCACCAAACGGAAGTCATAGGGGCCCCATTATCCTAATATGCCCAGGGCCTCCAATAGGTCAAAGACGGAACTGAATGGATGTATTGATTTTTAATCGATTTTCAAAGTTATACTTGTTGGTATCACAAAATGGAGCATGTATTAGTTAAATAAGGTTGTGGCAATATATCAGCGACTTCCGATAAAAAGGCTGTCTAAGGCTGAGTCACATTCCCTTTTTGTTCCGAAAAAAGTTGGTATGTCAGAATTTAAGTTTTCTGTATTTGTATATGTACTTTTTGGAGCAAATAAATACTTATTATAATTATTATTTGTGATGCTTTTACGCATTTTCAATGTTTCTTTTCTCCCTTCGAATCATCCAAAATGTGATACTTATATAAAGTACGAACTCGTATAGTCAAAGCATCAGGCAGCCACTTATAACTAAGCTAAACCTCTTAAAACTACATATTTTGGAAGTAAACAGAGGTTACACCAATCGTCGCCGAAAAGAGGCAATAAACCAGGAAGTGGCATGCAGGATTGCTGCAACTTATACAAGTGGACCTTCTAATATACAATAAGGCCTTTTTTTATACGCAGGCAAAAAATACTATTTACGACGAACGGACCTCACACCTGGCTCCCGCAAGCTTGACGGACCCCCGCAGGTGCTACCACTGAGGATCCCGTAACCCTTACGGGCGCTTTACGGCATAATATCCGCTAAAAACCCTGCGAATACCCTCTAAGCTACTTAGCGCGAAGTCGCGGGATCCCCGTTTAGGGATTCATCCGCGTCTCCGCACCTAGCAGCCTCCCGGCCTTACCGGGTAATATACAATAAGGCCTGCAAATTTACTAAATCTCAATTTAACTAAAATTAGATCGAGCATATACAAAAATGTGAAATAAACATTGAAGTTTTAGCAATTTTCTATGGTTTAAGGCCAGTTTTAGTTGAATGCACAACAAAAATACATCAATTGTTCAATTTAACGTTTTTTTCTATTGCATGTAACCATAAAGGTATATATTTTCTCAATTACATCTCCGAATACAGGTTAAGTACTTGCCTATTGTCTACGTACAAAGTGGGAAACATAATCTAGCTTACACAAGTTCCGTATAACAAGCGGATAACTGGGTACGGGGTTTCCTCTTTATTGGCAAAGAAGGCGATCTTAGTTAACGTTCAAACCAAATATATCAGTCAGGGTCAAAGAGAATGCTTACACGTAACATTACTAGCACGGTTACACAATTAATTACCACTTTTATTACGCCTTCGCACGAATCTACGGATGTGATTGTACACATACACATACAATAACAAAATATTTCCAAGAGGATGTTCACAGAAGAATTTTATACAATACGCGAGGTCGCAAACGTAAGGTAATCCTTGCAACCGTGCGTAACATCTAACTACTCAACTAATGAATGGCTTACTAAACGTTTATAAATGGGATCTGCGAACCCGACTCGCTTTATCGATCTAAACTATCGACTACTAGATCGCGCACAAAACAGGCCGCACTAGAACTACCTTAACTAGACAGACAAAACATGCAGTTTGCAACAAACCTTTTCGTTGTGCAAGTCCCGTCCTTCAATGTGTATTTTTAAATGTAAACAGGCACTGTTATAAACACTATTGTAACGGGCACGAGTGAGCACAGTTGTTCGCAATCGTTTGTTAGTGAGGGGCCGCGACGTGCGCGCGCGCCGATCGTTCCGCGCTAACTGCTAGAGAGGCGCCGGTGAACGTAGCATGACCTTCCTGCCCACGAAGCTTAGACAAACCACTATTCCTTTTAGATCGCCTAGAAAATTGGGAAACTCCTTAAAAGTCATAACAGATTTTTGTAAGAGACATCCGGCTCGAAGGACCATTTTTAGGATTCCGTACCCAAAAGGCCATAAATTATAAATAAAGGGTAAAAATGGAACCCTATGACTAAGACTCCATTTTCCGTCTGTCTGACTGTCTGTCTGGCACCAGGCTAAATCTCATGAACCGTGAAAGCTAGACAGATGAAATTTTCGTAGATGATTTCCTTGCCACTATAACAACCAAGAGGTACAACAAACAATAATAAAATAAACATTCTTATACACCCATACAACGTACGTAATTTTTTTTGTACGTCCGGCTCGCACTTTGACAGTTTTTTAGGGTAACGTAGTCCTGACAAGGAACCCTTATAGTTTCGTCATGTCCGTCTGTCCGTCGCCGGTTTTACTTGGAGACTACTAGAGACCTGTTACTTTGTGTGAGAGCACTAGAGAGCATTAATTTTGTGGAGATAGGCTTGTGCCCCAGAAGTGGGGACATTAATAGGCTGATGATGATGATGATGATGTATATTAGTGACGTAACGAATATTCGCATTCGCGGATATTCGCATATTTTTGCATATTCGCATTCATATTCGAATGTATAATAATGTTTTGCGAATATGAATATTAGAAAAAAACAATTTGAATGGTATGTTCATAAAATCAAAATCCATTAATTTCTTATGTTTTTAATGCAAGAAAAATTAACTTAACCCCGTAATCACATTATTAGTCTCGACTTTACCATTTGGCATTATTCATTTATTTTCTTTACTTTAGGCAATGAAGCTTAACAATTAAATTTTTATTAGAACTTTAAAAACAAAATAAATAATGCAATGAGAACAAACAAAAACAAACTCTTCTAAGAAATTTTTATCACTTTTTACTTATATTTTAATGTTATATTAATCATCATCTTTGACAAAACTAAAAAAAACGGAAAACTCGGTTTTATGCAATGCCTACAAATGATTTCTCATAGTTGTAGTTCTTCCTTTCCTTGAATATTCATTGTTACACAGCTTGCATTTAGCTCGTTCAGCATCACAAAGTGTTAAGTAAGTCCATATTTCCCTAGAAAATGATTTACTCATGTAATATACGTCACTATTCAAATTCTAAACTCAATAATAAATTCATTGAACTTGTTTTGTTTACGAAAAAACGGGGGCGAGCGGAATGACATTTAAATATTCGCAATGTCGGTACCAGATATTCGCATTCACATTCGCTTCCGCGAATGTTCAAAAAATGACATTCGTTACGTCACTAATACATAATTATATCGATCACGACGATAAAATGGTACAATAAAATTTTTAAAAATATTTTTTTTCATCATCTACCCCATCGTTTGGGATATCGTTAAATAGGTCCTTCAAAATTACTTAGGGGTTCCAAAGACTATTTTTCGATTTAGGGATCCGTTTGCCAAATATTGAACTTTAAAGTGCTAATTTTTATTCGAGTGACTGTACACTGGTGCACGTGGCACGACACGCACTTGGCCGGTTTTTTAATAGTGTAAGGTCTATGGTGCCCAGCACTATCAATGAATTGCTGTTGTATGGACAACGTTTAGAATAATTACAATTATTATTGTAATATTTATTTTCTATTCGAAATATGTTTATACGCATCGGCCTAGATCTAATATCCTAAGCACGATTCCAGGTTAGGTCGGGTCACATTAGAAAACGAACTTTAAAAATTTATAAACTTTATATCGAACTTCTTAAATATTATTAGGCACTGATGTCGATACTGGCATGATTCTCTAAAGCTAAACTTAAATTTGACAACAGTGCATCCTTGTCATTCTCTATACAGAATGAAAAGGAGAGACTGATGTTAAATTTAGTTTTAAGTTTAGAGAATCATGTTAGTTGAACGTCTCATGGTTTGTGTGAGGTGAGGTCGGGAGTTCCCTCTGCGCCCTCTCACGTAGTAATATAATAAATACAAAAGACTCTCTGTCTGTCAGTGCCTGTTAGATACCTTTTTTTTGTTAACGCAGGCAAAACCTCTGTTTACAGACGACGGCGCCTTTACTCTCACGTAGTAATATAATAAACAAAAGACTCTCTGTCTGTCAGTGCCTGTTAGATACCTTTTTTTTGTTAACGCAGGCAAAACCTCTGTTTACAGACGACGGCGCCTTTAAGAGGCACACCGCTGAACTGACAACACACCTGGATCCCTTTACGGGCCCCGCAATGGCTGCCCACTGAGGACCCCGTAACTCTTACGAGCGCTTTACAGCATAATATCCGCTAAAAACCCTGCGACTACCCTCTAAAGCTGCTTAGTGCGAAGCCACGGGATCCCCGTTTAGGGATTCTTCCGCATTTCCGCACCCAGCAACCTCCCGGCCTAGCCGGGGCTCCACGGCAGGGGTCCCCCGGGGTATCGCGGGGACCCCGCAGACGTGCGCGGGTAGGCCCGCGCTGGGAGTTAAGTGTGCGGCCTAGTGCCCGCACACCGCTCCCCGTCCGCTGCGGGAGACTGTCTGGGCTTGCCCATCTCAGGTCCTCCCGCCGCTCCCTCTCGTAGGACAAAACTACTGCCGTCACGGGGTCCGTCGGTGGCTGGCACAGCTGGCGCCACGCCGCGCCGGTCAGCGAGGGATCCCCCGGGTAGGATCATGGGACGGGTGCAGCCAGAGCGCGCCGTCTCCTACCCGTCCTCCTTTGGCGGGAGGGAGCGGCCAGAGGATCATCCTCCCGCTCCCTCACAGCCGGCTCCCACGCCCTCTCGCTGCGGAGCATGGCCTCCACCATGCTCCGCAGCCAGAGGGCTCCGCTTCCCAGCGCCGCAATGACATCGCGGCGCTGGTGTCGCCAGGCCGGGCACTCCAATAAGGTGTGCTCGGCCGTGTCGTTCGGGGCGCCGCAATGATGACATTGTGGCGTTTCCTCCCGACGTGCGACCCGGTGCAGATAGTGACCGAAGCATCCATGCCCGGTCAAGATCTGCACTATTCAGAACGTGAGGCCGCCGCGCCAGCGACTCAACCACTCCTCCAACACCGGACGAATGGCTTTCTTGTAACGTACCCATGGTTTTGACGATCATAGGTTCCATTTCACACATTTTATCATCTAACATCATCGATATTCATCAGACATATACATATATTTTATAAAAATGTATTCCTGGAAACACACAATTTCAGAAATATCACACACTATTCATCATTTTGTAAATACGTATTATAATTCTATCTGTAATGAAAATCACTATTCCAGAGTGCTGGACACTTACCGGCATTTCTCTATATTCTGTTATTTATTTAATTTTCTTGTATTTCTCCGATTTTATATATTTTTAGACATAAATTATTTTCTTTATTTTCTTGACATTGGTGACACTTTAATGTTTTTTATCTACTCTCTGCAACTACGTCTATGCCTATTCAACCTCCACAGAGCACCTACTTTGATTCTTTTCAGTTCGATTCGAACCGTGTCTAAATTTAAATGGTTCCGGACCTATAAAAAGCCGTGCCTCCCTGATCTTTAATTCATTTCTACGGCTAAAGTTGGCAACTCAACTTTTGATAGCTCGCTACCAAGCTCTAAATTAATAAAAGGCCTTAACCCGAGGCCGGCTGCCCCGGGACTCAAGAAAAGACCTCAAAGCTAATCAGCACCCTTTGGCTTTCTAAAGCACTCTCTACTCGACTATACTACACTAAACGGTCATCCTCTTCAACGGACCCCTACTGCCGTCTGGACTCTAGCAGCATCATCCAGGATCCAGCTGTTTCGGCCCGCATACCACCGGGGCCTGCCGTTCCACCAGTAGTGCCGGTCATCTCAAGACTTCGCCGGCCAACCTACCAGCAGCGCCCGCCAGCCACCACGTGAGCAGACCAAGAACCGAGACGCCTGAACAAGAACGCTTCTGCCTCCCAGGAGCGCTGCCCGTCCGCCAGCAGTTCGTCCTCCAGACCCTCAAACTGCCACAGTGAAGATTGCCGACGACCCACGCCCTCTTCACCACTTCCTACTTCACACCCCACACTACACACACACTATACCCCTACCATTTTATATTCTTTTATGTAAATATTATTCTTGTAAATATATATATTCTTAAATCTATTCCTATTTTTCCTTAGTGCGAAGCCACGGGATCCCCGTTTAGGGACTCTTCCGCATTTCCGCACCCAGCAGCCTCCCGGCCTAGCCGGGGCTCCATGGCAGGGGTCCCCCGGGGTATCGCGGGGACCCCGCAGACGTGCGCGGGTAGGCCCGCACCCTTCGCTATCCGGGCGAATGCACTGACCATTATACTTACACGGCCCTGATGGATGGTCGCATTTTCTCTAGCCTTAAGCTGCAAGGCAGCGTCATCTCTTCGCAGTGTAGATAACCCACAATTGCAAATGAAGAATAGCGAAGGGTGCGTGTTTGAGTCCCGTCTGCTTTCTTTAAATTAATTTATAATAATGTTATTTTAAGCACTAAAATCCCCGCTATCCGCCCAAATAGCGCAAGGCGCAGGTTCGAGTCCTGTCTGGTATGTGGTACGAGTAGTTTTCGGAATTTTTGCTTTGAATATCTATTAATTTTGTAAATAATTGTAAATTTTGCAACAGCATATAAAGTATTTCGTAATGTTTCTGTTGATTGTTGGTTTTGTTTGTTGGTTTCGTATAGATAATATTACCGTGGTTTCGGTCATTCTGGTGGTTAGGTAGGTTGTAAATTATTAGAACCCGATTATAAGGTTTTTCATAATTATAAAAAGTCTGTGTCTATGTTTGTAGTTAGCTGCCTTTTTATTTCTTTGTAATATATTGAACACATAAAAAAAAGAATACAATAAATTGAAATGAATATATAAAACAATAAATAATGAAACAAAGGTTGAGGCCGTATGGGCATTGTTCCTTTTGCCTTCCCTGAAAAAGAAGAACTACAAAAAAATTTAAACTATATGTCAATGTCAAATTGAAAATTCATTCACCCGACCCAAGAGTTTTTTGCGGGATTTCATGGAGTGCGCTTGGCGTCTTATTTTAATTATTCATAAATTCGTTCATAGTGGATATTGTGAAATAAAATTGGTGTGGTTTTGTGTAACAACCGTCTGCGTAACTGAAGAATTAGTGGAATCGTTAAAATTTACGCTATTCCGGTCAAGTGGACGTGAGAATTTTATTGTAGTGTTGACTACCTCACAGAAGCTTATCGAAAAAGCCAATTCGATACATTTCGTGCCAAACACTCCAAGAAACATTAGAATGCGTCACACTGACATTCTAATGTAAAAACAAAAAGAAGATTAATTTTATTAAAGACCAGGCTGTGTGGGCATTGTTCCCTTTGCCTTCCCTAAAACGAGAGAACTTCAACAAAAAAAAATCACCCGACCCAAAGCAAAGAGTACTTTTTATATACGGAAACCCGACCCGAGGGGTTGTTTTTATAATATCCAGTAGAATTCATTTAATATCATGGCATAATTAAGACAAAAGCAAAACTGAATCCATATTTGCAAGAAAATTAATCTAGTTTGCATAGGAAATTACAATACAATGAATACTCTCCATAAATTGACTATAAACTTGGGTAAGCTTTTAGGTTATATTTGTTTAATACAAATGAATTTCATTTCATTTAGATATGGTAAACAAAGACTTTTGTGCAGCTGCCAAGGCTAGGAAAAGAGTTCTGAGGCAGGGCCTGAGCAGAGTTTGGTTGCGATGCCGTTCCACAGTGGAAAATCCACCAGGAGTGAAAACTATGCCTCAATTCACTGTGCCCACGGGTATACTAGGCCAAGCAACATGCCACACACACCCTCACCTCATACAACCAGGATATTTGACTTGTGGGATTACTCAGATGGAATACAGAGAGCGGAGAGAAACACTGGTCAATAAACTAGTGTCTGAAATGGAGAACACTCATCAGAGTCATATTGTAAGATATATTTCGTGTCAAAATTAAGTTGTAAATTTGTTAAAAGGTGTCAAATTATCTATCTTTTAATTTGCTGAACAAATATGCATTTTTGTGTAAAGACAAAAATATATATATTACAATAATAATTTAAAATCTCAAGCAATAATACAACTTACTCTATGATATAGTTATTATAATTTCTTTTGTATAACATAAGAAATTCTATGTTTTTTTTTAAGAAATAAGGCTTACTTTATGTAGATACTAAGCCTATAACTAGCACGATTGAACATAAAACTAAATTTGATTAATACCTTCTTTATAAACTCTATGGTGAAATTAGATATTAGAAAACGGTGTTAGAATCAGGCCTGTTACCAGTTTTATTTAGAATAAATAATACAGTGAAACCTGGCTAAGTGGGCCCTGGATAGGGTTACCATATCTCAGGATTTGTCCTGAGATTTCAGGATTTTTGGACTCTTCTCAGGATTGCGGCTGGATTTTGCAAATCCCATGAAATCTCAGGATTTTTTGAATTTCCAATAAAATACAGCTTACGTTTTAAAGATCTCTTTAATAAAAAGTTAAACAAACTAAAAATAATCTTTTGGTAATTATTGCACAATTAAAATCAGTACTTTATTATCCAAGTTAATCTTAACTTAATCAGTTTTATCATACTTAATATGTGAATATACATTTTTAAGTAAGGTTTTTTTCTTTAATTATGGATACATATAATGCCCCACATGTTAAGCTCTTCAAATTATATTGATTTAAAAGTATAAGCACGGTATAAACGATAATATTACCATTTTTTTAAATTGTTAAGTACGTTTGAGAGAAAATTCTCAAACTGTAAAAAATGTCAGGAATTTTCAATGGAAATCAAGCCTTTTCTCCAGACTTTTGATTTTATCATCTGGTAACCCTAGCCCTGGATAAGTGAGTAACCTCTATTATTGAGAGTTGCAATGAGGTCCCGATTCTTTTTCATTAAATTACCTCTGTTAATGGGACTTTTTGAACCTGGTTAAATGAGATTTGAATTCTAAGACTCTTTCGATGTTTACCTCTATAATTGAGACTCTGTAGCTCAATTACCTATATAAGTGAGACTAATTAATCAGGTTGTAACACGTTTTGACATGTATGTTTACATACATTTCGCATCGTCTTTCGCGCATGCTTTGTTTGTCAGCACTCTAAAAATGGAATAACAGCACAATTCGACCTCTGTAAGCGGGGGCCTCTGTAAATGAGACAACTATAATTTTAAACCTGTTTAATTGGAAAACTGGATTATTGGATACCCTAATAATTGGTCTTGGTCCCTTGAGATCCCAATTAACCAGGTTTCCACTGTATTACTCTTACAATATATAAACAAGATATATGATAAAACTATTTAATTTCAACTTGTTTTCCAGATTGTAATACCTGCAGCCCGTAAGCAGTACATGTCAGATAAAATCCCATATGTGTTCCGACAGAATTCTGACTTTTATTATTTAACAGGATGCTTAGAACCCTCAGCCATATTGGTTATAGTGAAACCAGCTCAGACTGATAACTTTAAAGTAAGTTCAATTTAATATTTGTTTCTTAGTAATAGAACAAGTTCAATTTAATTTTACCAGAAAGCTGTTAAATACTTAAAAATATAATAACTTATTTTATTAAATAAATATATATTACTAACACACACCAACTAGCCTAGCCCCTAAGTAAGCATTCTAAAGCTTCTGTTATGGAATACTGATAGGAAGAAATTGTGGAATTCATCTTGCAAGCATTTACCCCACCGGGAATCAAACTCAGGATTAAGGTCCTGGGGAGTACCTGTGTGCAGACTACTTCCATAGCTAAACTGTACTTTCTGGGCACACAAGTTGACAATTCACACTAGATTAGGTTAGTGTCCTGACAATATATTTCATAATAGAAACCATTTGAACAAAAAAATGTGAAGTTTCACCTCTTGGGCCCAAAAAGTATAGCTTTAACACTTCCACCATTGAAGTTGTTGTATTATTTATTTATTTAGAAAGTCAAGATTTACCTAGAACCTCAAATTTTACCTACAATGTGAAGAGGTAGCCTAAATTATACTAGAAGTGCCATCACATTAACATATCATTAAAGTCTTAGTAGCATAGCCATATTGGTACCATCACTGCATCGGCATAGCCTAGACAGCAATGGACACTCCAATTTCCAGCTCAACCGTACCTAGGTTGAGTTGATTTTTTTATAATTAAATTTTCTTTATATACCTCTAGCAGGTATCTGCTACTTCGTCTGGGTGTTTTAAGTAATTTATTTCCCATACAATAAAAAGTATGTTCCTTTTTATAGTGAAAATTAAACTTGATAACCATAGTTTCATCCGTGGAGAAAAAATACTACTCACCTTCTTTTCCCGTCTATAAAAATTTAAATAAAAAAAAAGTTTCATCTATGTCTCTACCAAAACTCAGCTCAATCAATTCAGTAGTTTAGATGTAGAAGTGTGATGCGGGATTTTACTTGGCTATATTATTTTTAAACAGACCAATTAGCCTAGCCTGAAAGTAAGCACTATAAGGCTTGTATACATATATAAAAGTATATTTATATAGAAATACATATTAAACATCCATGACTGGAGTACAAGTGCTCGTATTCATCACACAAACATCTACCCCCACCGGTATTCCAACCTGGGACCTGTCGAGTCGGCGACATCATGAAATCCGGCGTACAAATCATTCGGTCATGAGGCCTTTTCATTTCTTAAAAAGCATGATAAGGCCAGACTTTTGTCAATTTAACAAGTAGCAAACACATATATCCGTAAAATGCCCGGTATTATAAACAAGTCAATTTCGTATTTACGCAATGTTATAGTGATGAACTTTTTTATTTTTTTTTATTGCATTTATAACTTGACTCACTTTTCCTTGTTGGCAGAGCATAATGTTCGTGCACGACAAAGACTCGCACGCCGAGTTGTGGGAGGGCCCGCGTACCGGATGCGCAAGCGCCGCGCATCTGTTCGCCGTGGACGAGGCCCGACCCGTTGAGAGTTTCGGCAACTTCATTAGCAAGTAAGTTTGTCGATCCCCTTCTTGATAACTACTATACTGTTTAGTGTATTATCGTGAACTTGTGAAATTGAATCGGCATCAGAGATTGCGATACTATGCAGTGTAAATAATAAAAGTTGGTTACTGATAAGTTTATTGCGGCAAATAATTACTGTATGCTATCGATCTGTTACTTTTTTCCTGGATAATATTTATACTTATAAAAGGCAACATTATCATTTGGAATCACGGTATCCAACGTGGTTTAGTATCGCAACGTAAGTCCACCAAACCCAGATATAGAGGCTAAGAATTCACAGCGCGATTTTAACCGCGGCAGCCGCGGCTTCGCGACTGCTGCTGCGCAACTCGCGTAGAATGTGAAATTTTAAGTATAACGCAAATGGAAAACTCACGGTGCGATTTGCGCTCGCAGAACGCGCGGGACGCGGGTACCCGAAGACGCGTTACGCTCGAATTGGCGGAAAACTGCAGTCTCGCGAATTTTGAAATAAAACCATTCTGTGGCCGCCCGCGGTTGGTGCGGGAATAAACCGCTTCGTAAGTTCGTAACTAGCGGTGGGCATTTAAACGAAAAGCGCTTAAATAAGCGCGCTTAAAATATTAAGCTTGTAAGCACGCTTTTAAGTATAAGCTTTATAAGCTTATCACTTAAAAAGTGTGAGTAAGCTTTTCACTTAAAAAAGTGCAAGTATATTTTTTACTTAAAAAGTGCAAATCCCGCCATCTATGTCTTTGCCAGGAAACTACATACTTCGATCCTTCTAGTCCACTACAGTATCGTAAAATGGGTACGCGGAATTCCTTGGTACTAAATATTTCACAATATCACAGACATAGAACGCGCGACTACAGCGCCGCGTCGGCGTGCCATCTTTCGTGAGCCGGTTAATACAGAATGCGAATTATTATAATGCGACGTAAAAAAATGCACTTTTTTAAAATTTGGTCGGATAACCAACGCTTTTTTCGTTAAAAGCGTTTAATTAAACGAAGTCGAAAAGCAGTACGCTTGTCACTGTGACGGGGTAAGAGCGCGTGGGTGTTGTACGGTGTGTTTGCATGCTTGCTTGACGTGTTAATGCGTTTCGTGTATTGGTTTAATGTGCATATAAAATAGTTAAAAGTGTGTATATAAAATCAATGAACTTTTAAGTACGCCTGGATCACGAGTATATTAACTCCAGACAGTCCTAAGCTTGTAAACTAAGAAGGAAAGTTCATTGACTATTATAAAAATGTTTATTATAAAATTTAAATTCAATTGAAAATCTTTCGTTTTTAATGCCAATCAGTTCATTAGGTTTAAAAAAATTTTTTAATAAATATTTCATTAATAAGAAGAAAAAACGCAATAAAACACTTAAACACATTAAAAACGACAATAAACTTTTCACGCTTTTTTAAACGATATACCTAAACGAAAACACAACACAACGTCGCGCTTTTTACGCATGCTTTTAAACGTTTAAGCCAATAAGCGTTTAAACGAAACGACAATAAACTTTCACGCTATTTTAAACGATATACCTAAACGAAAACACAACACAACGTCGCGCTTTTTACGCATGCTTTTAAACGTTTAAGCCAATAAGCGTTTAAACGAAAAAGCTTTTTTTCAAGCGCGCTTATTTTAAAAAGTACAACGTTTAAACGCTTTTAAGAAATAAGCCGTTTTTTCCATCTCTATTCGTAACCATACATTCGGCTAGGGTTGCAACGATATATCGGAATATCGATAATATCGAGAACAAAATATCGATATTTATATCGATATTTAAAATTCACTGATATCGATAATATCGATATCGGAAATTCCAAAATATCGATATTTCGTAGACTCAATTTGAACACAATAATATCAATTAATTTACCTGCTATAACTATCTAAATTGAATAATATCGAAATAACTATTGCTTTGAAATCGCAAGAGCGTATAGATGTATTAAAAAAAATCTTGAACCCCAAGAAATATACTAAACTGGTGTGGATTCTGGCATGATTCTCTAAACCTAAAATTAAATTTGACAATAGTGTATCCTTGTCATTCTCTATACAGAATGAAAAGGAGAAACTGATGTTAAATTTAGTTTTAGAATGCCCAATCATGGGCCCCTTTTGAGGTTTCTTGTGCCTCATTCAAATATGTACCTAAAAATCGAATTTATATTTTGATGCTGGTGACATTTATATCGTAATTTTTTTCACCCTGGGTATTAAGTTATAATTAATTAGTTATTTGCCCAATTTCCGCTTGACATATTTTTTTTTATATTTATGGCTTGGTTGGTGACGTATTTCTCGATGGGTATAATGTTGCCAGGTATTAATAAACTTAATTGATTAATCGATATTAAACTCGTGATGTTCGCTAAAAGTAAATTCGGATTTTTATCAGATTATATAAATAGTAAATTGCAATGTACCGGTAAGAGACATAAATATGGTAGAAAATCACTCGATTTTTATCTTCATTGGTACTCAAATGATTTTTGTCATTCGAGTTACTCAATGGCATAAGCAGGATTACCCCTCCCTCCCCCCCGAATTAGTTCAATCGTATTAAGTCGATGCTATTTTTTAAGGTAGGGTTTTGGTATTGGCATTGCCCTCTAAAGACCATAATGCACCACCACCACCTAGCTTTGGCCCTGACCGGCTGCCTGATAGCTCACTGAAACATTATTGTGCTTTTATACATTATAATATATTATGCAAGTTTATATCAATATAGGGACATCCCTAACTAGGTCCTATCTACATAGATAGGACCTAGTTAAGAAAAGCATGGAGAAAATGTTAATGTCAAGCTATTTTATAACCTCAATTTCCACAACAGAAAATAAATTATATCTCGTGAACCAGGGTGACTAAATTGAAAATTCCTTTTGAATGTGAATATAGCGTATTTTTCCTACAACCTCCAACAACAAACTTCAGGGCACAACTATTTTTCAAAGGGGCCCAAGTCTCCTTACTAAATGGGCATTCTCCTTTAGATAATCATGCCAGAATCGACACCAACGTATATAGGTATAATAGTATACCTAATGGTAAATCATGCACTTAAATAAAATCCTTGCCTCTCTTTCTAGATAATTGTCAACTACTGATTAATTGAAATTTAATATCATTGTAATATAACACAAAATAAAATTAAGAATCTTATACAAATCGTAATTTTTTTAAGCTCGCCAAGTCAAGAAAGTAAGATAGGTATAGTAATTTTGGAAGCTTTGGGCTTACCCTATTCTGAAGCCTGATGTGTGGGTTTTACTAATTCATAACAATTGTTTTTCATATGTTTATCTATTCTGATTTTGGCTGCGTGCAAATATTTTAAACAAAATAAATATCTTTGATTCGAAATTGCTTTTGATTTGATACTTCTTACAGCGCTATAAAAAATATAGAAAATATCGTGTTGGAAATGTTGGAATGGCAGATATATCGGATCGGATATCGATATTTACCTGCCCACATTATAAATATCGATATTTCGGAAACCTTTGCTTCCTTTATTTTAGGTTTTTGCTTTGCAAACTTAATACAAAGCAAAAAAAAGAAAAAAATATCGATACTGGTGCCAATTCTAGCGTGATTCTCTAAACTTAAAACTAAATTTAACATCAGTCTCTCCTTTTCATTCTGTATAGAGAATGACAAAGATATACTGCTGTCAAATTTAAGTTTAGGTTTAAAGAATCATGCTAGAATCGACACCAATATTGAGTTAAAATGGTCGATATATCGGATATCGATATTTTCCTGACTTCGATATAAATATCGATATTTCAAAAGACTTTGCATCCCTATTCGGCGCATCGGATAGTACCGTCATGATCAAATTTTATATGGAAAAAGCTAGTTTGTTCTTACGTCCGATAGGAGCGCTGCATAGTTTTAATAGAAACTTTGACTCTCTACCTCATTACGCAACAAACAAGCTTCTCTGACGGACCCTATACATTTATGACTAAGGTTTTGTCGTTAGAATCACGAAATCATCACGTCCGTCTATGGTTTGGTACCACAACGAGAGTCCCGCTAACCCGGACATTGATTCTGCTGTGCGTACAGCCCTGCGCGACGGGCAAGCTTCGTTACAAGACCCACAGAGGGCGCTGCATTTTATGCGCGTGCGCAAGTCGCCCGCCGAGATCGAGCTCATGAAGGAGACGTGCTACATCGGCTCCCAGTCCATCAACATGGCCATGGCTTGCACTAAACCTGGTGAGTATTCAAACAATATTAACTGTTTAGTTTTGTTCAAATAAAAAAGTAACTGAATTTTAGTATAACAACTCTTTTACAACAGTGTTCCTGTAGACTTTAATATTTCCACTATCACTTAGTCTCTCGCACTTATTTGCACATTTTCACTTTAACATTTAGTTAGGGAACAATCAGTGCATTCTTTGGGCCTGCCTGTCTATGGTATTGCCTATGGAAGGCGTCATAGAGCACTAAGGGAACTCGATACTAGATCAATCCTTTGTCTATGTCTCATTGTCTATGCCAAATGGCAGGCGTCACAAAGCACCAAGTGAACGCGGTACTAGAGAACACTTGTCGTCAGGGAGTGGCAGAACATCTGGCCTTCCCGCCGGTAGTAGTGGGAATCTCTCACATTTATCTGTCCAGTTTTACGGCACATTGGTTAGGTGACTCAGTCTATGGTATTGTCTATGGCAGGCGTCACAGAGCACCAAGTGAACGCGGTACTAGATAACACTTATCGTCAGGGAGTGGCAGAACATCTGGCCTTCCCGCCGGTAGTAGTGGGATTCTCCGACATTTATCTGTCCAGTTTTACTTCACATTGGTTAGGTGACTCAGTCTATGGTATTGTCTGTGGCAGGCGTCACAGAGCACCAAATGAACGCGGTACTAGAGAACACTTGTCGTCAGGGAATGGCAGAACATCTGGCCTTCCCGCCGGTAGTAGTGGGAATCCCTCACATTTATCTGTCCAGTTTTACTTCACATTAATTAGGTGATTCAGTCTATGGTGTTGTCTATGGCAGGCGTCACAGAGCACCAAGTGAACGCGGTGCTAGAATACACTTGCCGTCAGGGAGGCGCGGAACACTTGGCCTTTCCGCCGGTAGTAGCTGGCGGACCGCGCGCCACTCACATACACTACATAGCCAACAATCAGACGTTAGCCGCGGACGAAATGTTACTCGTCGATTCGGGTGAGTGCGTTGCTATTTTTTTAAATCATACCACTTATGATGAAGATGAAAGAATGCCGAACGAGAGAAAGAATAATACTTTATCACGCTAATATTATAAAGAGGAAAGTTTGTGAGTGTGTGAGTGTATATGTTTGTTACATCTTCACGTCTAAACGGTTGGAGCGATTTTGAAAAAAATATGGTATGGAGTTAGCTGACCACCTTGGATTAACACATAGACTACGTTTTACTGCGGGAAATTATCCCTAATAAAACACGGGTGACACCGCGGGGCACAGCCAGTATTATAATAAATGTGAAAGTTTGTATGTTTGGATGTGTTTAACTGAATTACGTAAAAGCAACTGAATTTGGATTTGAATTCAGCACACATATAGCTTATTACCTGGATTTACACATAAGATATGTACGCTCGCATTTATCTTGCAAACTTTGCTCCACCAGGATTTACTGCGATTAGGGTAGCCAGGTCGCCAAAACTAAAAGCCGGACAGACCAGCCAGTTTGGCCGGACATTAGGGTAAAAAAGCCGAACACCCTACATTATTGAGGATTTGTGGCTCAGTTATATTGGGTAGACCGACAAATATTTGTGTGTAAAAGCAACTGACAGTCAACTGGCTTGCACTCGGCCACGCCCAGCGCTCGCTCGTTTGCGAAATGTAAAAAAACGAGTGTGCTTATGACCTCACGACTGAAGTGAAAATTCTTTAGCTCCTTAAAAAAAATGTTATATATAAGTGTGTGTGTGTATAATATATACATATTTCATTTACTAGCTATAAGAGAAAGAGAGAAAGAAAATGGGCGCGCGGACTGCTTTCTCTTGCTTATATCCCCCACTCAACTCCCGTTCGCCTCGCCCGAACACGCGTAACGCATTCGCCAGCTTACCCCCCAAGTCAAACGTGCGTAAAGAAGTTTCAAGTCTTATTATGTCCGGCTTTATCCGGACGCCTGGCAACACTAACTGCGATTACCAGGACTTGTTTTTTGGCGGGATTTCATCGAGTGTGGTTGGCGTCTTATTTTAATTATTCTTAAATTCGTTCATAGTGGATATTGTGAAATAAAATTGGTGTGATTTTGTGTTACAACTGTCTGCGTAACTGAATAATTAGTAGAATCATCAAAATATACGCTATTCCGGTCAAGTGGACGTGAGAATTTTATTGTAGTATTGACTACCTCACAGAAGCTTATCGAAAAAGCCAGCTCGATACATTTCGTGCCAATCAATTCAAGAAACATTAGAATGCGTCACACCGACATTCTAATGTAAAAAGAAAAACAGAATACTTTAAATTAAGACTAGGCTGTATGAGCATTGTTCCCCTTGCCTTCCCTGAAAAGGGAGAACGTAACTAAAAAAAAATTACCAGTATTTAATTGATGCTCTTTACTACTACTATGATATGGTACTCGATTCATATTCAGCAGTTTTGATTATGACACGAAGAACATTCGTAGAAAGTGGATTCTGCTATTGAATTTTAACCTTTATTGTTAGGTAGCCAGAGGTGGCTTTACAACTCGGACATCTCTCGGACGTGGCCGGTGTCAGGCAAGTTCTCCAAACACCACAGAATACTCTACGAGCTAGTACTTGCTGTACAGGTAATTTAATATTAGATTCATATTCACGTTTTTGCCAACAAAATGTTTCTTAGTTGCACTCAATTACCATTATTAGAGAAATGACAACAAAAATTTCCTTACTAAATTGAGCATTGTGAAGCAGAAAGCAACCAGCGGGAATTTTTGAAGCAAGCAAAAATTTAAATTTGTAGAAAATTTTACTAGAAAATATTCCACGCGTATCAGGTAGCAGACGGCACTCGAACCCGCACCCTTCGCTATCCGGGCGAAAGCACTGACCATTATGCTACCGCGGCCCTGATGGCCGTGTCGAATTTTCTCTAGCACTTCTTAGGCTCCAACGCAGCGCCATCTCTTCGCATTGTAAGTAACCCACAATACCTTAAATGCTTAAAAAATATAAGCGAAAACTTGTTCTCTCTCGAATTCATGTAAGTTTCATTCTGTTTGATCGCAAAATATTACCAATGGTCACTATCTGCTCTCCCAATCATACTTTAACATTGGTCAACAGATTATAATTTTTATATTTTAGGCATTTAACTGCTCGATGCTTAAATCAAGAGAAAATATTACTAGAAATAAATTCACATACGGGTTCGAGTCCCGTCTGCTGCCTGGTCCGCGTGGAATTTTTTCTAGTAATATTTTCTTTAGATTGGTCCACAGAACTAATTTTTACTAACTTCAAAAATTCCCGTTTAAGTTTAACACCGCTAAATTATAGTATAGTACTTATCAAAATTCAATTTGTCTGTGTGTAATTTCAATTATCAGACAGCAGAATATGCTTAAAAGATAAATAAGTGCATAACAATAATGCAATCGTATATAAAACCCTGTTTTTGGCAGTTATTTTGATACCCAAAAAAATGTCCACCCGACCTGGCGTCAAATGTGTTCCCTACTTTTCTAATAAATATTGCCAGGCTGTAAAAAGTACATACCTCATTATCCAACCATTATAAGGTGATGGCTGAAAATCGGTGTTTTGCCTTAAAACTGGCAAATGTTTAGCCGAGCCTGTGGTCTTTTGCTTTCTGCAGCATACATGGGTATTCATAGCTGATTTCTTGTACCTTTTTTTTTATTGTATTACTCTGAAATGTATTCTCGTATGTATATTGAAGAAAAAAATAAAAGCATTATCTATCTATCCAATATCTGTTAAGTGCTCTTCTGCAGATTTCGACATTTTCATCATTATGCTATGTGCATCAGCCAGAATATTTACAAATATTAACAATATCTTGAATGAAGTTAGCACATAACAGATATTGGTTTGACAACGGCCACAGTCCTCATTTGTATTAAAAAATAAGTTGTTTCTTCCTAGAAACGTCTGATCGAGTTGTTAGGTGAACACCGTCCAGCGCTGGACCAACTATTCGACAGCATGTGCCGACTGCTGGGCACACATTTACAGCAGGAAGGGATTATACCCAAACACGTGGACGGAAACGAACTCATAGGGGTGAGTCAGTGATATGACAGCATATGCCGATTGAAGTCTCATGCCTCCTCAACACCTCAACAGATTCATCTGCAGATGCCATCTTCGGATACGTCCGCCGACGTGTAGACGTGGTTCTATGTAGTTAGAGGATAGGGTTTCCGCATTTAATCCTTAAGTGGACCATTCTACGTGAGCTATAGCGGCCAATTACTCCAACCAAGCCACCTCCCTTCACAAGCATTTTTTTATGCATAATAGGCAAGGCGTTTGACCACAATCTCGTTTAATGGAAAGCGATGATGTAGCCTAGTCTGGTACACGCCTGTCTAGAAGATACCTGTTCACTCTGGCCTGGAATATGTCCAGATTGTATTGGTCAGGGAAAACAGACCTCGGCAAGGAGTTCCACTCCCTAGCCGTTCGCATAATGAAAGAGGAAGCAAATCGTTTCTTGCGAATGGGAGGAACTTCTACAACATAAGGGTGAAAGTCCTTGCCGCGCCTGGTTGTCCGGTGGTGGAAAGGGGATATCAGTCTTCCCAGTCTTCTCAGGACTTTCGCGAGGGATTCCGGTGTATCGAGAGTCTCTCTGCGGATCTGGCCGCTGTTTTTCGGCCTCCATGCATGCTCTGCATAGGGGACTAGAATGTGAAAGTGTTTGTTCAACGAGCAGTTTCCGATGATTGTCTACGTCACCAGTCTCAGGCTATTCCTGTCTAGGCGCAGAAGGTGCTGTGTTTAGGGATGGCATAACCTCCTTAGCTTGCCTATATCCTGGTGTCGAGGTCTACCATTACGTGGTTCTCAGGTGCTTGAAGGGAATGAGTTCAAGTCTCGCGTTCCTTATTTGCGTCAGATGAATCTTTTTAGTCTGAATTGTTCGTTTATTACATCTAGAGTAAATCTGAAGCGTCCGGTAAATGCGCTCAGTACCCTTAGCACGAACCAATATCGAATTCGTATCGTATGCGAGTCCGAAATTTTATTGTCAAATGTGTACTGATTTTTAGTTCTCGTTACGTACGTTGTGCCGCAGCTGTTCAAGTTTCCATACAAAATTTGACATTGACATTTCGGTTTGCCAACTATTCGAATTCGATAATGGTTCGTGCCAGGGGTACAGGTTAGTCCGGTGTAAATCTGTTTGCTCAGGGTATTTTAACCGACGAGAAAGATTAATCTGGTTTTCTGTCATGGTATGAGGTTAGAAATTAATCTACCGTTGGTCGGGTCGTCCGGTAATAGCATTTTGACAGATGAATGTGATCACGTGACCAAAAATCCGTCGCATCTGCGAAAGAAATGCCGCACACAACTGCAGTTTATACCAGTAAAATAATTTTGAAAATCAGTTCACTAATTCCAGAGATAACTACCTACAAAAAAGGAACATTTTTTTAATGTTAGAATAGCTATAGTTAAATAAAAATACTCCCTTTGACTTTAATGTACATTCTTGTTACCCCAGAAAGCGTACCGCCTATGCCCGCACCACGTGTCCCACTACTTGGGGCTGGATGTCCACGATTCTCCCCTCGTGCGTCGCAACTCGCCCGTAACCGCCGGCATGATCGTCACTGTAGAACCAGGTAGGACACTACATTTCCCGATCAATTTGGAACACCCGACTGGGAAAGTCCCATCACTTACACATGCATACATATATACACACAAACACACACACATATATAATGGCGCGCGCGCATTGCAACACATCTCGCCCCTGTTTGGTAGAGGGTTTTCTAAACTATTATGCTATAACTAAATAATGAAAATCCGTAATTGGCATTAATATAAACTATATTGTAAAATCTGTATTATATTAAGAAAATGCTGTGGATTTTGGTCTAGAATTAAATAAATAAAAATAAATAAATAAACTGTACAAAGAACCATATACACCAGTGAAATTGATTTTTATTTGCTTATTTTCCCTAAAAATACAGGTATACAAAACAAATTAATTATATATTATATATATATATATATATATATACAAATATTCGTCCCCCCCCTGGCACCCCGTCTAGAAAGTAATAGATACAATGCAAACCAAAAAAACAATTTAACAAAATTTAGCTTAAACGGCTGAACCGACTTCTATGAAATTCGGCACATAGATAAACCATTACCTGTTAAAAGTATCCCATGTGCTGGTTCGCACATAGGATACCTTTTTTTTTTTTTTTTTTTTTTTTTTTATGTTGGGAAAATGCGTTATGCATACCCCGCCGGTATGTGGCGGGGTTATGTGGGACTCCTCCCCCCCCCCAAATCCCGCCCACCCGCCCAGCCAGGCTGGCTCGGCGGCTGTTCGGGATGAGGGGGGGGGGGGGCTACCCACTAAAAACCCAACAGTGCTCCCTCGTCTGCCGGAACGGGTTTTGTGGGATCCGGGTGACGCTCCACGTTACCCGGCAGAGGTTCCTCCTCCTCCTGATGGTCAGGGGGATGCCCTGGAGCACCTAGGCATCCTCCCTCGACGGGTGAGACTGCGCAACGCGAGCGACGGACTACCCTGTCCGCCGCCCGCAGTCCCACTAGGGTGGAAAGAGGCGGTCGTACTGCCGCCGTCTTCCCCCCGGTCGTCGGCGACGGAGAGGACCGGCCCGGGCGTCCCCCTCGCGGGCCCTCTCTGCTGTCTCCTTCTGTAGGATGACTTCCTCACAGAAGGAGACGACCGCGTTCCAGGATCTGTCGCTGTCCAGCATCGCTTTAACGACGCTGGGCAACGAGAGATCCCTTCCCACTGCCATGACCATATCATGGCGCTGCCGAGACCACGACGAGCACTCTTCAAGGGTGTGCTGCGCCGTGTCCTCGGCAGCGCCACAATGATGGCATGACGGGGTCGCTTCCCTCCGTATGCGATGCAAGTAGCTGCCAAAACATCCATGCCCTGACAGCACCTGCACCAGACGGAAGGTCAGCGACCCATGCCTCCTTTCCTTCCATTGCCCCAAGACTGGCCGCAGCGCCTCCAGGGTCCTCACCCCGAACTGCTGCGCCCCCAGCTCCTCGGCCCACTGCTCCATGACTAGCTCATCCAGTCTCCTCCTGTGCACATAGGATACCTACTCTTAACCAATAAATAACACTAACTTTTGGAGATTTTTAGGCTGAGCGCAGATTAGAGTCACGACAGTCTCAAGACCAGACTATTGCTTAACAAAAATTATGAAGATGCGCACATTCGAAACGAGACGTCTCATAGACAAAAAAGTCTTATGTACCCAAGAACTGCAAAGCGACAAGTCTAACGACTGTCCGCTTCCCTTTGTAATGTATGCGAGGGCGCACACCAACGACAAAATTGTCTAGCGATTAGGGATGATAATCGATACTGAAAGAAAGTATAATACATACGATAAAATAAGTAATATGTGGGTCCATAAATTATGACAAATTATCAAAGATAGATTGATACATTCATTCGAAATTACTGGTAAAACTTTCTGGGCTGGTGCCTTAATTTCTATAAAATAAATAATCGGTGAAATCTATTCTGATACTGATGAAAATGGTGAGTGTCGCATCATAGACAAAACAGTTTCGTCTTGGTGTGCGCCTTGTGGTAGACACAACTGTTTCTTTTTAATTGTAAAGCTGTCTCGTCTATGTAAGACAAGATTGTCTAACAACTGTCATGACTCTAATCTGCGCTCAGCCTTAGCGTTTCTGTTGCCGAATAAGGTTTCAGTGCTTAAAAGCACAGACAATAACTGTTCGCTGATGTTGTGTTGTGTCTGCGAGTAAAATTTTAGGCGTCCACAGTGTATCGGCAAAGTAATTCGCACGCATTGGACATTTTTCTTACTTGACGTAACTACGCAACTACATTAATATAAAATTGATAGTGAATAAGGACCCTAATGGCTCAAGTGGTAAGCGCGTTCTGTCTGCGATCGTGGATGTGAAGTAACTTTCGCAATGGCCGGTTAGTAGATGGGTGGTTGATCAAAGATGTAGATAATATTTTGAACCCCTTCATACTTCGGAAAGCACATTAAGCTGTCATCGGTCGCGGCTTCATTTGCAGTCGTTAGCACCCACCAATCTGCACGCGACTTGTACGTGACATTACATAGCTAACTTTGCATTTTCATCCAAACTTAACGTCATGAGCAGATTTATTAAAATGGTGGGGCCCGGGGCTGAAATTGTAGCGGGGCCCATTTAAGGATATGAAATCTGATTCCCAATTGTTCTAAATTTCCGTTTTTATGCATAATATGCATTCTATCTTGCACGCATTTTAGAATGTAGAAAGGAGGGATACATGTAAAGGTCTACTCTATTGAGTATCTACTTTACAATTGAAAATGCACAATGTTAATTAAACATATATTTACAAAGAAAAGTTTACTAGAAAAAAATCCACGCGGACCAGGCAGCGGACGGGACCCGAACCCGCATCCTTCGCAATCCGGGCGAATGCACTGACCATTATGCTACCACGGCCCTATTAGCCGCGTCGAAATTTTCCTAGCCTTAAGCTGCAAGGCAGCACCATCTCTTCGCATTGTAGGTAACCCACAATGTCAAATGAATACTTTTTCAAGTATTAAACATTAACTTTTCTTTAGATTTAAACACCTAGCAGTTAAATGCTTAAAAAATAAATAAAATCATAAATATATTTACAAATTCAAAATTTTAATCCTTAAGCATTAATCTGCTAGATCTGTAAATCAAAAAAATATTATTAGTAAATCATCACTCATTCTAGCCTGAAACCTGGAGTTTTTGAAGTGAAAACTTCTTTAGCGGCGTTGTACACTTTTTTTGTATAGGTAAAAATGGATGAAACATAGTAATATTTTATTTTTATCGTATTATAATAATAAGTCTCTATCTAGGACGTCCAGGTGGCAGATTTATTGCGAAGAAAATGCATTTATTTTACAACAGATGTCGCTAGGTGCGCTTTAATGAGAAATTCTAAGAGATAAACTTTTTTATGTAATATAAATTGACATTTTTGTTTACGATAGCGCAATAAATAAATATTGTTTTCTACCACATAAATGATAGTACTTTTATACTGATAATTAAAGAAATTAGTGCAAAATTATTCCCTAACCATTCCAAAATACATCAAAAATGCACAACGTTAATATTCAAGTTTTCACTTCTGCCGGCACTCCCGGAGTGCAAACCGTCGTTTTTTTTCTGACAACGTTTTCTTTAGATTTTCAATCTTTAACATTACATTTTTTATAAGTATAATATAATATATTCGTTCCAGGTATCTACATCCGCCCTGACGACGAAACAGTTCCTGCAGAGTTCCGTGGCGTAGGTATACGTGTTGAAGACGATGTATTGATCACAGAAGGGGACCCGTTAGTACTGACTGAGGCGTGCGTTAAAGAGGCAGACGATATCGAGGCGATCGTAGGAAAACACTCAATGTGAAACTGCCCCTATAGTTAGATATAGGCAGTGACTCCGCTTTGACCCTTCGTCTGTGTAAGGGGCCGTCCATAAATTACGTCATCGATTTTTTCAGATTTTAGACCCCCCCCACAATCATCCTATCGTCATTTCTTAATGACCCCCCCCCCCCCTTCTCCCAAAATTGACGTCATTACCAGTTTGACAAAATTAAAACATTGCAGATTTGAGAAAAGCTAGTATTATATGCAATATTATTGTTAGAGTATTTTATCTGTAGTTATTACTGTATTTGTGTACATCTATGTTGCATTATGTATGTTTATATTACATTTGCAGTCTCACTTACTAGGTGTGCTGGAAGAAATTTCTTTTTAGAAATAATCTTTTTGTACATGAACAATAAACTATAAATAAATAAATAAGAATGACGTCAATTTCGTAACCCCCCCCTTTTCTATCATTTACCGTCATCCGCAGACCAACCCCCCCCCCCCCCCTAATTTAGAATGACGTAATATATGGACGGCCCCTAAGTGGATGATTTATTTTTTATGACCCGCCCACTTGTTCGCAGTTTGAGTGGAACCACTTTTTACCGCAGTTCGACGCAGAACAGACGCTTAAACGTAATCCTATAGATAAAATAGATGCTCTTATTTAAAAGATGGATGGTATCGAAGTCGTTCGTCTATAGAATCTACCTAGGTTGATGGTAAATAAATTGTGGAATTCTAGAAAATACGGCATCTAAAAGCAGTTACCTGTTTTATCCGTGTTAATAAGATTGAAAATCGCTAATTTGTAATTTATTGACGCACAAAATAAAAGCTCATACTAATAAATTGTAAGAGAAAAACTGATTCCAATGATTTTCACTATATACGAGTATATCTAGTGAACTTAAAGAAAGCCTAGTTTTGACGCAAATATAAAAAAATAGACTCGAACCCGCATCCTCTGCTATCCGGAAGGATGTACTGACGAATTATGCTACCGCGGCCCTAATGGTCATGTCGAATTTCCTCTAGTATATCTTAGGCTGCAATTGTAGGTAAGCCACAATGTCAAACGAAATAACTTTACAAGTATTAAACATCTGAAAGAAGAAATAACAATTGTAGTTAATTACCTACAATGCGAAGAGATGGCGCTGCCTTACAGCCTAAGAAATACTACAGGAAATTCGACACGATCATTAGGCTGCGGTATCATAATTGGTCAGTGCATCCGCCCGGATAGCCGAGGGTGTCGGTTCGAGTCTTGTCTATTGCCTGGTCCGCGTGAATTTTTTTTCTAATAAAATAAATCTTTACATTTAAACATCTAGCAGTTAAATGCTTAAAAAATCAAAATATAAGAAATTAAAAAATAAGAGTTTAACAGGGGAATAAACTTTGGTAAAATTCTTCTTCTCAAAGTCAAAAATGAGTCAAATATAAGTATTGATTTCATCAGGCTCTGGCGTTTTACAACATGCTTTTACCCATACTATTATAAAATTAGGAATCTTAAATTTGTTTTTGTGATAATATAATTATAGTGAATATTGGTATCTTATTAATACCACGTTGTATAGAAAAGGTGGATAGTTCCAATTGGTGTAAATAGTATAAGTTGTATGTACTCAGAGACAGCAATTAACTTTTAAGTTTGATTAATGTTAGTGCTGACGTTTTCTCTGCAATAACATAACTATGGCAATAACAATATACTAAGACATCGGTGTCGATTCTGGTAGGATTCACCTAAAATTCAATTTGACAACAGTGTGTCCTTGTCATTCTCTATACAGTATGAAAAGGAGAGACTGATTTAAATTTTGGGGCAGTTTCCAACTAAACTTGTGATTAAACAAATAACGCACATACATTTATACCCGTTCAAAAGTATTTTATTAAATTATTCAAGTAGCTTTAGTGTAGTATGAAAGAAGATATAGATGTTTTATTTTGATGGAATCTTTTAAATAAACATTGTGAACTTATAAAATGTGTTTTATTTTTATTCGAAACAAATTATATTGGTGAAATGAATGTTTTTACAAGCTTTTATTTAACTTGCAATGTATGTTTGTTCGGGTCAAATCTTACAACTCAATTTTAAAGCACTTGCCCTCAACCGATTAAGTTTAAATTTGGTATGCTCGTTCAGTTTGGATGACAATGCATGATTAACAGTGTGACGTCATTCTAAATCCAATATGGCGGCATACCAAAATGGCGGAGCAATCATTTTTAATGCATTCCTACAATATGGGTATCAAATTAAAGGGCTTGCTGAGACTAACTCGAAATAAAATATAAAAGCTTATCGCGAGATTTAAGTACTCGTATTTACTTCCTTAGTTTTAAAATTTTAATAGGCAGCCAGTAAATACGAGTACTCTCGCGACAAGCTTTTATAACATACTAGCGGACCCGACAGACTTGTCCTGTCTACACGTCTTTGTGAATCTAAACCATTCTCAGATCCCCTTGAACACACACAAAAAATTTCATCAAAATCGGTCCAGTCGTTTAAGAGAAGTTCAGTGACATACACACTCACAGAAGAATTATATATATAAAGATTATATCTGACATGATATTGGTTTGTAGTACATGCTATGTATCAGAGATGGCGCTGTATGTGAAAAAAGATTTTCCCGCTTTTCTGTTGAAATTTTTCCTGAATTTTCTTTGCTATAAACTAGTGTTGAGTAGGACTTACAAGAGGCGGTACATTTGTCCCGGACATGACGCCAAATTGTAAGAGCGGCTCAAAATTTTAAAATGTACTACTTCACATTAAATGTCGCGATAGTTGCATCTCGTTACTCACTCACTCTTCGTAAGTCTGAGAGAGAGAGCGAGGCATGACATTTCAATTTAGTCCTCTACGCACTATCCATCTGTATCTCTATCTGTTTTACGTGTATAGCGCTGTCCTGCATGCTGGATCCAGCAATATTGATAGTGCGTAGAGGAGGTGCTACTCGTGCACACAAACGTAATGTCGAGCTTCTGTACGCCTCAATGTCATATTTGTACTCGTCACTTCAAATGTATTGCCGAGCTTCAGTACGCCTCGCCTCATTTGAAGTGGGACATTGTACTGGTTCAGTACAAAAAAGAGGCTACTCTCTCCTATATATTACCATACTCTTTGGGCTACTCTTACAAACCCTTTTTCAAGTCGTGTCCTACCCAACACTACTATAAACCTTACGGAGCCCGAGACCTTTCCAACGAATGCAAAACCGTGGAAATCGGTTCGTGCGTTCTGGAGTTATAGCGTCAGGAAGGAAAACCTGACTTATTTTTATATAGTAGATAAATTGTGTCAAATGTGTTAAATTTGAAATGACGTTATAAGTTAACAGTAAAAGTTTTAGTGTATAAGTTTATTTTTTTTTCTTTTTAGCGCATTTAAATAAAAGCTTGTTTTGAAAAAAGTTTTTTTTACCTTAATTTTTTAGTATATTTATTTTCATAACCACTCTCGGCGTTCGCATGCTTTCGACTTTGATTGGAGGCTCAAGGAGTCGGTTCCATCCACCCCGTTAACGGAGATGTGGGAAAAAATGTTCCATCGACCCCGGTAGCCCCGACCCCGTCGTTTAACGGGGTGGATGGCACAGAACAAGTATCACATACTTCGACGTGTTTTTTTTTTACGGGGGCGATTCATCAATCATCATCAACAACCTATCTTAGTCCACTGCTGGACATAGGCCTCTCCAATGAGAGCTATCGCGTCTGAAACCGCCGCTAGAGGCGCTTGTGTTGCGTGAGTTCTCCGAAATATCAAATGTTATAGCTTGCGGGTTGACTACGCGGTTTTTTTCTAATTAAAATAATAGTTGTGAATATTTGGTAATAAATCAGACTTATTATGGCAAATATGAGTTACGTATCAATGATTGTCAGTTATTTAAAAGCGGAGCTAAGAAAAAATATTGTCCTTCTTTTTTCCGAACAAAACGGGACTGCGCAACACAGTTTAAGATACGTTTCTTTTGTATTAAAATGTAAACTTTGATATCACGAGCGTGTTTACTAACTTTAAAAGTTACACTTCAGGACCTCACTCAACAGTGGCGCCATCTGGTGAGACAAAAAACGATAGCCCTCATTGCACGCCACTCAAATCGATCTTGGGATACTCGCATCCAGCTCCTGCCAGCCATCTTGCGCAAATCGTCACTCCACCGTGCCTGAGGACGTCCTACACTACGTTTGCCTAGACGCGGTCTCCACTCCAGAACTCGTCTACCCCAACGGTTATCGGTTCTTCGACAAATATGGCCAGCCCACTGCCACTTCAACTTGCTAATCCGGTGGGCTATGTCGATAACTCTTAATAATAACTCGGGGGCGATTAGCAGAGATTCATTAGCATAATTATGGCTTATGACCGCCCGTTAGGAGTTCAATTGGTTTTTTACAAACACATTCCTCGCACATCTCTGAAGAAAACGCAGCCTGATTCCGCCGCAAGAGAGGTAGGGTATAAGGCCTCCCCCTAAGGATGAAACAGGGAGATTGTGCCATGACCCACCACGCGGGCCAGTGCGAATTAGTGGGTGCTAACGAACGCAGATGCAGCCGGGACCAACGGCTTAACTTACCTTCCGAAGCACGGAGGAGCTCGAGATAGTAAATTTTTGTTCGCCCATCCAATGACCGACCACTGCGAAATGCTAAATTCAACGATCGCAGCCGAACGCACTAACCACTTACGCTATCGAGTTCCTCCAGCTTTTGGATATAACTTCCAAAAGTTACCAATCAATAGTTTTCATATATTATCTCTTATCTAATAGACAAGTCCGTCCGTCCGTCCGTGGTGCTGTTTCAGCGGCCAAACCGTAAGAGATAGATATAGAGAATGTTCAAGTTATAAGTTAAGAATAGTCTGACAAGACTACAAACCGGATGTGAGTAACGTAGCACTTCCGGTTTTCGAGAAATCACGTGATTTCTATTTCAAACGAAACCACACAAAATCTCTTCACAATCTCCACACAAGTTCTCAATTAATTAATAGTTATTTATTATACAAGAGTGGAAAGTTCCTTTTTAACCGCGTGCTCGATTTGGATGACCGAGCAAGCGAAGGATTCTAAATTAGAATCCTGAGCGTCAGCGAGGGAAACAAACGAGCACAAGGTGAAAAATCTTTCCACTCGAGTGCAATACGTAACTTTTCATCCCACCTCAGCGAGGAAATGACAAAATGAAAAAGAAAACAATTTATAATGACAAAATATTTTTATTTCAATTAAAACACATTAAGATAATCTATAAATTGAAGAAAATAATAAGAAGTAGAAAATAATTAAGAAATATTAAATGTAACGTTGCTACAGTTACTTATGTTAAGTTTAATATTTTTGTTAGGTAATGTTATGTTGGTGTTTGTGAATTGTGCGCTGTTTTGTGGTAAACTACTCGTATCAGTAATTTTAAATAGTTGTGCCGATTCATTGGATTCTATTGGCGTAAATGTTGGCGAGAGAGGGCTAT